TAAGTTGCTGAGTGAGATCTGCCTTTTGAGTGGTCAGACGGCCCTTGAGCTTGTCAACTCGCTCTCGGAGATCCTTGGCGTCTTTTTCCGCCTGCTTGAGAGTCGCCATCTCTTCATTAAGATCAAAGACGGTCTTCTCAAGATCCTGGATCTTCTTCCTGGCCGCCTCTAGGTCTTTCTTAACCTGCAATGTGGCTGACACCTGATAATACAGAATGTCAGTGATTAGGACTTCATTTTGTGCTATTTGAAACATAGCCTTATCAGAATCAGAGGCGGCCATGGCCTTCGCAGTTTTTACCTCTTTGTTTTTGTCGTTCAAAGGCTTGTGCAGGCCGTATACTTGCAGCATGGACTGCACTCGGCCAAAAGAACAGTCGTCAGAAAACAAGCGGCTGGGAGTCAAACAAAAAAGGGAAATTATTTCAAGTATTACCTCTGCGAGTAGAGCGAGGATAGCCTCAAGGTTCAGGGTGCCGACTCCCTTAACGACGTCTCTTTCCTCGGCAGGGATGGCTCACAGCATGGCTCTGGCCATTTGAACCAAGTCTGGTTCTTTAGGGGCGCCTGCTAAAAACCGCAAAGTCAGACGACTGTTCTCAAAAGGAGGCGGCACACATGAGAGACTGGAACAAATTGAAATTTACCTCTGGTGCCTTCTCTAGGAGGACGACTACTCCCTGGAGTAGACGACATCCGTCCCCCAATTAAGGGGGCTCGTCCCTGTCTTTCACCAGCCTGCCGCTAAGCACCACCAGGGGAGGCCACGTCCCTAGCCGCCAAAGTCAGGCGGCTGGTTGGGATGAGGAAGAAGGAAGAGGACCGGCTCCCTACAAATTGCATTGAAAACAATTAGCTCCAAAACAGGCGGTAACAAATAAAAGAGCTAAAAGTTTGATCAATGCTCACCTTTGACGCCTGTTTAGCAGGCGACTCCTCGGTAGTCCGCTTGCCCAGCACAGCGGCGCGAAGAAGGGCGGCGGCTTTCTTGGATGTCGAGATCTTGTCCATAGCTTGGTCTGCAAGAAGTGATCACAGTTAGATAAATGTACAAAAAATATTAAGTGTAGCAGGGTGCATTAAGGAACGGCCAGCTACCTCTCGGCATCTCAGCACTCAGGCCACAGGCGGCCAGGTAAACCCCATCGTACAACCATTTGTACTTGGGGATATAAAATTTAGGGACAAACTCCCTAACCCCTGTATCCGGGTCCGCCTGGATAAACACTTTAAAGAGTCCTCGGTCCAGGATCTCTTCTTTGGCTTGTTGAGGAACAGGCGGCAGGTCCGAACCACCGCCTGTTAAGTAAGGTGGGTTCCGGTTCCACCTGTTGTATTTTTTATTTTGGATTTTGTTGGGACTTGAGACTATGAAGAAGGTGTTGCGCCAGTCTTTCCATTTGTTCTCCTTCCCCATAGTCATCATATAGCCTTTGTGGCTATTTATTTGGTACCAGCCGGTACCGCTTGCTTTGGGGTCCTGCTCAGATAATTCATATGGGCGAACGCCTCAAAGTTGGCGTCAACCCCATTCATTTCGCAGGCGGCCACGTACCCCAAAATGTTGAACCAAGAATTAGGGGCCAGCTGCCAAAGACCCAGCTGGTAGCCGTCTAGAATCCTCTTTACAGCCGGGTGTAGAGGAAACCTTACACCTGCTTTGATGGCCGCTTCATAGCAGCTAAAGCACTCGTCCCCGTAACTTGCCGCCTCTGGCCAGACGACTGTATCTTCTGGGTCCGGCACCGAAAGAATGTAGTCGCCGTCCATAAAGTAGTCGGCCCTGATGCTTGCAAGCTTATCAAGTATGGTCTTGCGCCTGCTAGTTGGAACGTGGCAGTAATAAGGGGTATGCGACTCTCTGCGAGAGGCAGTCAGATCTGCCCAGTCGTCCCCCTTCTCGGTCGCATGACTTGCTCTCGCCTCATGTAGGCGAGAGTGCTTTTCCTCAGAGTCGGCAGAATGCCGACTGGAGGTGCTTGTTTCTGAGTCACTTGAACTCTCGGCCAGACAAGCCGCCTGCCCAGATACATCCATTGATAGGGGCTCATTCCCAACCTCATCCCCTGATTCCCTTAAAATAGAATCGTTGGGGGTACTTGGGGTTCCATGCGGCAGGTCCGAGAGCTCCTCCCAAGAGCAAAAGGAGCCGTCTGAATTTGAGTATCTTGCGGTCCTTTTTGTTCTGGCCATAGTGTCCTGCACAGACACAGAGACAGTCGGACTCCTAGTTCGCAAAGGGTGGTCCATCAAGGGGCAGTCGGCACTCCTAGTTCTAGATTCAGCCGTCCCCGGTGACCGGCTGATCACTAACCTAGGCCGTGCCGGGTGCTTTGGGGCTACCATTTTCGAAAAAATAGAAAGACAGAAAGTACAAGAAAAAGTGCAAGAAAACAGGCGGTTACCTGGTAAAAATCTGGAGCGTTTGAAAAAAGGGTTCAAAAACAGTCGGCCTGAAGATCAGTCGGTCCGTAAAAACAGTCGTTCCCAAAAAATAGTCGGATGTCTCAAAGTCAGAGCAGGCGTCCTGTTTTTGTTTGTTTGAAAATTACGGTAATCATTGCAAATGATTTGGACATCCCCTATTTATAGGGGGGTGAATTCCAAGGGTCAGGGTAAAAAAAAAAACAAAAAAAAAAGGTTAAAACCGTTAGCCACTCAGAGCGTGACATGTGTCACAGGAGCCACGTGGCACGCCACGTCACCCCTGTGAGGGGCAAATGATTAGGGGATTTCCCCCCGCCACGTGGACCAATTAGGTTCTGCCACGTGGACCAATTATGTATTGACACGTGGACCAATCTGAGTTTGCCACGTGTCACCACCAGGTCCTAAGTGGTCCTATCAGCCCACGATGCATAGCAGATCAAAAAGCCTGTCAGGAAAAGCAGCCTGCAGCAGCCCAACTTCCCAAGCAAGCCCAATCAGATCTAGGGGTCCCAGAAACCTAGTATTGGGTACGGTTTTCAAGACTATAAATAAGGTGCTTCCTCCTAAAGAGACACCTATTCACAAATTTCCAAACACATTCACTCTCAAAGCAGAGAACACGTCAGTCACCTGACATCCCAAACTGAGCAATTATTCATTGCAGATCCTCTCTTGAAACCCAAGGGAGACTCTTTACTTTCCGCACTTAACTCCTCAAACACGTTCTAACTTGACCGTTGGAGGCGGAGAAGTCTCCGTTATTTTGCGAGTACAGGCGTCCAGAGGCCAGTCTTGGATTTGTAACTCTCCCGCAGGACATTAAAAAACCCCGAAACACAATCGTTTGACAACTTGTGTAATTTATATTTTCTTATTTCTTTTCTTTATTTATTTTTAGATTAGAATTTAGGGAATTATAAATACTCAAGGAGACTTATTTTCTCCTTATGCTTTTTATTATTTTTATACGTTCGTTTTAGTTTGCTTTCGAGCCCTAGTTTTTCGTGGACAACTCCATGGATTCCTCCATGGTTTTGTCCTTGAATTTGTTACTTTAATTTATAGAGGTAATTTTATTTCTATACTTTAATTATGTTTTATTCCTTAGTAGTTTTAATTATTTATTTCATGCTAGAGTAGTTTATTTCTGGGGTTTGGGAATCCATGTTTATATGATGAATCTTGATTGATGTTATTGATATTTTGATTATTGATTTCTCTAATTGATAGTATTTTATTGTTAATCTTGCAACCTGATCAATTGTTTGATTAATTATTGTTAATAAGAGTTTGAATCGAAAGATCTTACTTTTAGAGGCTTACCTACAATTAGCAATTCTGATTATGTTAGCAACCGAACTATATATGTTGAATTGAGAGCGTTAAAACCTAACCGTAGGCTTAGTAATTGCTCTAGATAATTGATTGGTTGAATTGTTATTGATATTTGATAGATTTAGAACTATAACATGGTGAACCATAACCCTAGGTTACAATTTGTTTAAAGCGGACACCCCCCAAAGGTGGTATTATTTAGAGATAATCAAAAGGTCGACTTGTTTTTAGCGGACGGGTGAAAGGTGGTATTATTTAATGCAATTTTTCCTTTTATTAATTGTTTTATTCCTATTTTAATTTAGACTACTTTTATATCCCAATCTCGTGACATGGTTTAGTTTTTCCATACCTTGAAAGCTAGATTGAATAGCCATCTCTCTGAGGATTCGACCCTACTACATTGTTAGTTGGTTTGACGTGATCAAGTCGAGTAATGTGCCACGTCATTACTCATCATCCAGTAGCATCATAGCTTATGTATTTATTTAATTATTTTATTTAGGATGAGGCAAAAATATAAATACTTGAGAGGATTTTATTTTTCATCTTATGTTTTATTTTATGCTTGAACGTTCTTTTAGTTTTCTTCTCATTGTAGAACCCTAGATTATTATTCTTCATTAATTCAATATTTGAGGTATTTCACTGAATCTTTCGTCGTTTATTTTATTAATTATGAATTCAAGTTTATTTATTCCTTTTGTTTTGTTTATTTCAACATGAGTGAGTAGTCGTTTTCTTGGGCTAAGTGAGGGAAGCGGTTAGCTCATGAGAAATTTCTAGGATTATTCCCAAGATCAAGGATTTTGTTGAAATTTTGTTAACCATGTTCTAATTTTTTTTTTTTTTTACTATAAATAAATGTATCATATGATAGCTGCAGAAATGACAAATTGGACATCTTGAAGCGGTTAGCTCATGAGAAATTTCAGGAATTAATTTTGAGGTTTAAAATCCCAATATTGGTTTATTCATTTGTATTTTTCGCTGGATGAGATTTTTTATTTTTTTTTTTTTTATTTTTTTTTTTTTTTCAATGGTCATATAGTTCCTTCTTTGTAGTTGAATTGTCGGTTACTGCTTTACCCATGAATGTTTTGATTTTCACACAAGTTTGCTTTAGATGATTTTGGTCAGCACACCTGATTGATTTAAAGTTTTTGAATTGCTGTTTTGACCTTTGTTTTGCTTGTAGTTCCAAATTCTGACAGATATTATGTGTTTGTTTTAAGTTTGTGACCTGCCAGCTCTTCTTGGGTGTGCTCATTGATGACGGTGATGGTGGAGTTGAAAGAAGTTCTTCAAGAAAATGAAATGTTATAGATATTTTGTGTTTGTTTTAGTGTTTAATTGCAATGGAATGGTTGGATAGTTAAAGATGTAAGCGTTAGCACCAACATGATTCCGAGTTGTTCTTACATTCATCTAGCTAATCTGTGTTTTTTATGCCTGTTTTTTCTTTTATGGATAGGATATTTGTAGGGTTCTTGAAAAATGGTGTAACCTCAAATTTGTGTGAGTTGATATAGGCTTTTTATCTTGTTTTATTTTTGGCTCCAAATCATTAATAATTTGATAGTTAAGAGTTGAATGACATATAATAATTGAAATATTTGTCATATGTACTAAAGTTATGAGAGTTTTTGCAAGTAGATTTGTTGCTTAAATTTTCTATGTGCAATTTATGTTTCAAGCAAGAACTTTATATGATTTTTGGAGTCTAATTTGATAATTCTAATAATTGAGTCAAGTGTGATTGCTAATTCAAATATTAGTTTTACAATCTTGGGTTTAATTTCACATTATCGCATGTTTTAATTTTAGTACATCATCTAGGGGTCTTCTTTGGCTGAATATTGAAATATTGGTTATATTTTCTATAGTTATAACTATATTCATGTGATAATCGGGTCACTTAAGAAAATCGTGTCAATTTGCTTTGGAGAGAGAGAGAGACCAATTAAGAAAAATAACATAAAAAAATCGAGACAATTAGCTTAGAAGAGAGAAAGAGAGAGACCACTTAAGAAAATCAAGGCAATTAGAATTAAAAAAAAAACAACAATTAGCTTAGGAAAATACTTATTAAAACGAGAGAGAGGGAGAGATCACTTAAGAAAATCAAAACAATTAGCTTAGAAAAATTCTTACTAAAATGTTGGACCACTTAAACTAATTACGTTTTCTTAGGCTAATTTCTGAAGAAATATCACTTGAGAGAGAGAGAGGTCATATACAAAAGATCACTTGAAAGAGAGAGAGAGATAGACCACTTAGGAAAGATCATTTGAGAGAGACTACTTTATAAAGACCACCTAACAAAAAAAGGAAGACCACTTAAAAAATATCAGTTAATAAATTAAGAGAAATTAGCTTTGGAAAAAGAGTTGCTGAAATATTAGAAAGTGAGAAAAACCACTTCAAAAAGATCACTTCAAAATAAAAATCACTCAAGAAGAAGGAAATTGCTCAAGAAAAAAGATCACTTAAGAAAAGTCACTTAAGAAGAAAAGCCACTTAAGAAGAAAAGCCACTTAAGAAAATCAAGATACCACTTAAGAAAACAGGGCAATTAGCTTATGAGATAAATTAAGGCAATTATCTTAGGAAAGGAAGAGAAAGAAAGAGGAATGAGAGAGACCGCTTAAGGGCAATTAGCTTAGAAAAACACAATTATGTTTGGAAAAAAGCTTACTAAGATGCGAGAGAGAAAGAGAGGCAACACAAGAAAGATCACTTAAGAAAATCATGGCAATTATCTTAATAAGAGAGAAAAAGAGTAAAATGTCACTTAAGAAAAATCACTTATGAAAATAGGATTAATTGGCTTTGGAGAGATGAGAGACCAATTAAGAAAGATCACATAAAAAAATAATCAAGGCAATTAGCTTAGAATAGAGAGAGAAATTTCACTTAAGAAAATCAGAGCAATAAGCTTAAGAAAACACATTTAGCTTAGGAAAAGGCTTACGCTAAAATGCGAGAGAGAGGGAAAGAGAGAGAGAGGCCACTAAAGAAAGATAACTTAAGAAAATCAAGGCAATCAGCTTAGAAAAACACAATTAGCTTAGGTTGAAAGAGAGAGTGAGAGCACTAATTAGCTCAGGAAAAGGCTTACCAAAATGATGGCCACATAAGCTAATTACATTTTCTTAAGCTAAGTTATTAAAAAAAATCACTAGAGAGAGAGAGAGAGATAGACCAATTAAGAAATATCATTTGAGAGAAACTAATTAAGAAAAATCATTTAACAAAATTAGAGATACCACTTAAGAAAGATCACTTATTAAAATGAGAGAAGTTAGCTTAGGAAAAAGAGTTACAAAATCCTAGAAAAAGAGAGAGAGAGACCACTTAAGAAGAAAGCCTACTCAAGAAGAAAGAAAGATCACTCAAGAAGAAAGATCACCTAGAAAGATCAATTAAGAAGAAAGAACAATTAAGAAAAACACTTAATAAGAAAGGTAACTTAAGAAAAGAAAGATCCCCTAAGAAAATCAAGAGACCATTTAAGAAAGATCATTTGAGAAGATCAAGACAATGAGGGCAATTAGCTTAAAATAGGGAGAGAGTGAGAAAGAGACCACTTAAGAATGAAATATCACTTAATTAAGAAAAAAGATCATTTAAGAAAATCGGGAAAATTATCTTAGGAAGAAGAGAGAGGGGGAGAGAGAGAGACCACTTACCAAATATCACTTAAGAAAATTAGGACAATCAAATTAGGATAGTGAAAGAGATCACTTAAGAAGGCTCACTTAAGAAAAATCAAGGCAATTAGTTTAGGAGAGAGATTAAGAGACCACTCACGAAAGATCACTACAGAAAGTCAGGGCAATTAGCTAAAGAAAAAGGCTTACTAAAATGTGCGCACGAGAGAGAGAGAAAGAGAGATAGAGAGACCACTTTAAAAAATCACTTAAGAAAATCATGGAAATAGCTTAGGAGAAAGAGAGAGACCACTTAAGAAAGATCATTTAAGAAAATCAAGTCAATTAGTTGATGTGTGTGTGTGTGTGAGAGAGAGAGAGAGGGAGAGGGTGAGAGAGAGAGAGAGAGAGAGAGAGAGAGATATGCCACTTATGAAAGATCACTTAAGAAAATTAGGGCAATTAGTTTTGGAGAGAGAAAGACCAAATAGAAAGATCACTTAAGGAAAATAGGGCAATTAGCTTAGGAAAATAGAGAGTACACAACAACAATGAGGGAAGAAGGGATAGGAAAAACTTAAAGACAAGTGATAAAAGGATGGGGGAAAGCTAACATGAATTGACTTTATAATATCAACAAAACCATAAAAACAATTTGGATATAAATTTAATTAATACTTTTAATAGCAGCAAAACAACAAAAAAAATAATTTAATTAATACTAATATATTTTTTTTAAGTAAAATAGAGGAGGAAATATTGAATCTTTTTAAGAGAGCATTATTATAGGAAATGATCTAAGGTATATTATGGTAATTGGTAACCATGGGTAATGGTATACACAGATAGACCCGGACAACCTGAACCGGACCTGTTTGGACCGGACCGGAATTGAACCTGTAGATTCAAGTCCGGTCCCGGTCCTTGCAAGTCACCGATGACCACTGAACACCACGAAAAGTGCTACTATCCACTATTTTGGTATGCATCGTAGCCACATCACGGCCACCAGATCGCACAATTGTAGCGACCACGGCCACCAGATCGCGTGTGCGGCTCCAGCGATCGCAACCACCAGAACGCGTGGCTCTAGCGATCGCGGGGACCCAACAGTCACCACATCTGGGCTTTTGGTTCTTGTGGATGTTGTGGTACGGTGGTTCTTGCTGCCTGCTAATTAGCATCCTGATGTTTTTTTTTGTATTTTTTTTAATACTAGGCTGAATCTGAAATTATTTTTTTTTTTTTGAGAAAATATGAAATTAATATTAAACATCAATATAAACCAATTGAATTTGGTTAATATGTATTTTATTTTTTTTCAAATTGAATTTTTTAGTAAAAAAAAAAAAAAAAAAAAAAAGCAGGTCTAATCAAGTCCAAAACCGGACCGGACCTATTTTTCCAGGTCTGGTCCGGAAGTGGACCTGTTGATTCAAGTCCGATCCCCCGGTCCTCGAAAAATAGAGATTCAGGTCCCGGTCCATTCCGATTCCGGTCTAGTTTTGGACCGGTGAACAACCCTAACCATGGGGAATTTTTCTAGATTTCGCGAAAGGCAATGAATATGAAGAAAATTGTTAGCTGCTAGATTTTATTTTATTTTATTTTATTTATAGGATTGTTAGATGCTAGAATTTATTAAATAGGATATATATGTTATATGAATGAATTTAAGTTTTTAAGTAAATAAATTCTATAAAATTGTCACATATGAAAATTTAAAATTCGTTTAGATTAATTTGTAGTTTTATTCTAAGTGTTTTTGCTATTATTTATTATTCCGCTTTGGGGTTAGACATTTCGGAAAAAAAAATTGTTTAGTTGCGTAGATTAGCAAAAATATGGTTTTACTCAATTCGTGCAAAGTAATATGATTATATGATAACTAATTGTACTTTACAAGCCATACGACCATACTTATGATAATAGTTACTAATTTTTATGTGCTAAAGAGAGATGAGTCGGGAGAGAAAGAAGGGTAGGTAGAGAAAGAGAGAAGGGGGTGGGGCTAACTAAAATGCTAATTTATTAAAAAAGATCACTTGAGAGAGAGAGAGAGAGGTCATTCGAGAGAGACCACTTAAGAAATATCACTTAAGAAAAAATCAGAGATAGTTTATGAAAAAAGTCACTAAAATTCTAGAAATATAGAGAGGTCGCTTTAAAATGATCACTTAAAAAGAAAAATCACTCAAGAAAAAGAAACATCACTCAAGAAGAAAGATATCTAAATAAAACAAAGATCACCGAAGAAAATCAGGGCAATAGCTTAGGAGGGAAAATCAGGACAATTAGCTTAGGATAGGGTGAAAGAAAGAATGAATGAGAGAGACCACTTAAAAAATATCACCTCAGAAATTAAGGGCAATTAGCTTTGGAAAACGCAACTAGTTTAGGAAAAAGCAAGGCTTATAAAAACACGAGAGAGAAAAAGAGACCACACAAGAAAGATCATTTAAGAAAATCATGGCAATTAATTTATTTTAAGAAAGAAAAAGAGAGGGTGGTCACTTAAGAAAAATAACTTATGAATATAGAGTCAATTGGCTTTAGAGAGATGAGAGACAATTAAGAAAGATCACATAAAAAATCAAGACAATTATCTTAGAAGAGATAGAGAGGGACCAAAAGAAAGATCATCACTTAAGAAAATCAGGGCAATTAGCTTGGAAAAACACAATTATCTTAGGAAAATGCTTACTAAAAAATGATATATATATATATATATATATATATGTAGAGAGAGAGAGAGAGAGAGAGAGAGAGAGAGAGAGAGAGAGAGAGAGAGAGAGAGAGAGAGAGAGAACACTTAAGAATAAGAGCAATTAGCTTAGGAAGAAGCTTTTTATAAAAATGATGGACATACATTTTCTTAAGCTAATTCATCTACATTGTATATTTTATCTAAAAAAATTTCTAGACATCAAACAAATTACTTTAAATGAAAGAGGGAATAGATAAGGCTTTTACATTATTTTCAACCTTTCAAAAATGGGAGTTTATTGCGCTTATGACCAGATATGCTTTTACTTTCCAACTTGATTAATTAGTGATAGATTTCGTATATGTAAATTTAAAAAATGATCTAATATTCACATTCATACAAAACTAGTGTGTCACATACATATATTGCGAATACCTCACTAGAGGCATTTTGATGTGGGGACTCCGTTATCCTTCTTCCCCACTTCCAAAGTGCCTAGCCCACTAACCTGGGTCGAGAGGACATGTGAGAGATTCTGGCCCGGTAGAGCCTTTCTCCTTACCAACAAAAAAAAAATATATGTTATGAATACAAATTAGTCTTGAACCTATTTAACTATAATCAAGATACTTAAATTAAATCAACTTTTTTATTAATTATAATAAAGAAATAACGATAAATTGGGGTAGCGCGTTGTTGCGCGCGATGCCACAACTAATGGAATAAATAGTAACAAAAAATTAGTGGTTTGAAGACGTTTTACTGCTTAGAGAATATCATTTCATTGAAGTAAAACTAGAGGTTTTGGGGTCCTACATAAAGTACATATCCTACTACAGCTTGTTTTACTTTGATGATTTGAAGCTTGGTTTGTTAATGAAAATATATACCAATTTATTATTTAATCTAGAGAAAAGAATTGCCTCAACGAATCTTGGACAAATCTCAATTACAAAGAATACATTAATCACGTGAGTGGGAGGGGGTTAATTTAATTAATAACATAAATGAATAAAAGAAGCCGGAATTCGATGGAATATCCAGCATCAGAAAACCTTTATGTCGTAAATAACACCCAACTCCCAAAGTTTGTACTATTTATTAGTCCACTTAAGTTCGTGCTGTTAAGAGTACTTAAGCAACAATTCGTACTGCTCTAGCCAATTTTTGCCGGTTAAATGTTAAAATTATAACAATAAATAAAGCGGATGGAGCAAGAAAAATCAAGTTTAGTTTGGTAGAAAGAAAAGACCTTACGAACCAATACCTCACTAGTGATAAGGTGAGTTAAAGATATAAATTAGGGAATGCGCTAAGTTATAAGGTGAGTTATGTATCCACCACCTCCACCGAGGATGTTTCGTTAGGTATTTCTATTTACGTGATTGGAAATTTGGTATACCTCCTAGTCAGATAATAACTGTATAAATTTGTACTGATGTAGTGAAGTGACACGTTTTGTCCCAATAAATCCGAAAGTTACCGAGGCCAAGTGCGTCGTATTTGCTGTCCGAAGTTGAATTTCATCCTCCATTCGGAAGATGGTCGGAAATTGATGTGACTTTATCAGAAAATCATGAGCTTCGCATTTAATAGAGTAGTATATTTTCTACGAGTACTATCTTTCTCAATAATTAATTTCATTTGTAAATTAAACTGGGAAACCAACCACCCTACTTTAAATGCTCAATCTTCTTCTTCTTCACAACCATTAATGCAATTCCTTTGCTATCCATTTTTCCCCATCATTTTTAGTTTTTCTGGGTTAGTTTCTGAACCTAATTTGGAAGATTATGTTGCACTCTTTTGGTACTGTTTTTGTTGTTTTCTGGGTTTTGCTTCCTCAGTTTGGGTTAAGCAGTGATCATTGTCAACGAACGGCTGCCAAAGAAGGTAGTTTACGTTTACCCTTGTTACAATTCATGAGTTTGGTGGGTTTTTTTGTTTTTTATTGGAGTGGTTGAGCATGGTTTTTTGCTTTCTTTATGCCTACCAAGTGTTTGATGATTTGTGTCAATGAAAATTGTTTACAACTGTTGTTTATTGATTGTTGGTATAACTATGTACTTGGAGTATGAAATTGGTCAATTAAAGGCTTGCTTTTGAGTGGAGTTAGTAGCTAAAATACTTGGTTATCACTTGTCACAATCACTAGCTACTACTGATCTTACATAGTAAGCGTGAGAGTTGCTAATTTTGAGGATGGATAAGTAAACTATAAATAAATTAACAAGTGGCAGGAAAATGTTAGAATGAATGCTAGATTGGAAAATTTAGCAAAGGGTTATGTTAGAGTATGGGCACTTGAAGAAAAACAACAAATCTTTAAGAACGACTATAATTGTGTCTATGTGATCGATTAGTGTTTGATATCTTGGTTTTGGCTGTATGACATGCTACATTGAGAAATGAGAATGTTCATGTTTTCGACTTTTGAAATGAGTGAAATTACGTATGGTATGATTGGAATCTTTGTGGTTTAGACTTTTCAAGTGGTTTGCAAGATATTTTTATAGTCAAAGCAATGCTTCTATAATACTTTCTCTGTTCCTAATATTGCAATAAAGGGGGAAGTCACGGAATTTAAGGCCTCATTTGGTTGACATGAGAAAATGGTTGAAGAATGAAGAGAGGATTCCTTAGAGATTTTTGACTGTGGTTAAAACTAACAACAATTTAATGGTTTTAGGCTTAATAAATTCACAGATGTAAGTTCTTAATAATAGAGGGCTACAATTGATAATCAAAATAAAAGTTGGCTACAATTGGAAATAAGCAAAAACAAAAGGCTATCATTGAGAATTTCGCTTATTTTTATTTTATTTTATTTTATTTATTTTTATTTTTTTTAGAATTATTATGTACCTTAAGGGTACCAAGTGAATTATTGTGCAATTGTGAAATTTGTTAAAATTTTATACCCTAGAAACCCTGATAGATTTCTTAATGGGCACATAGTGAAAAATATCTGAATGATATGCGGTTTTTGTCTCTTAAAGAATGTCTTTTATGCTATGCATGAATTGGATATAATAAATCAAATGGGTAATAGAAGGAAAGATAAAGAGAATGAAGATGGTTGGAGGTGATAAATGGGATAAGGTAGTATTGAGTAATTGATTTCGGGCAAATCTTAGTGCCTATTTAAGTAGGATGCTAAGTCAACAAGTTAGTAGACTACTGGTCAGTTATTATAGACTGAATTGTGAAAAATATGACCTTTAGCTTTCAATTTTGTGTTATGTTGATCTCCATTTCCATTTAAAGGCCATGTGCAATCTGCTTCAAAGTTGGATGATTTAAAGTATGACTAGTTTTCTTAACTACTATTTTCCCTCTCTCTTATATATATTTTTCAATTGAAAGGGTTGTATGGTTGTAGTGACGTGGTGTAAGGAGCAGAGAGGGAATCGCTGCCTTCAGTTTTGGGATAGTATTCTCCCACCACCCATAGGATTATATATTACCCCAATAGTGAGGGTAATATTTCACCCATCCTTTTCTCCTCCTTACTTTATTTTTATCTCATCCCTTCTACCAAGCTATTGTTACAAATTCCTTCAAGTTCTTATAATTGCATAAATGCTATCCTAGAGTAACTAGCTCATGATGACCTAATATTTTAAGCCCTTTGTTGACATGTAGCCATCGCTAAGTCATAATAGTTGAATCAAATTTCATGTCGTGGCAAGTGGTTATTGGGTTGCCTTGGAGGTTTTACTTCTTAATTACCCACACATTATATCATTTATATGTAGATGGATGTGCTGTATTGGCAATGAAGAATATATTTGCAATGTGATCATTAATCCTTTCATTTTGAGCCTAATTCTTGGTTTGACGATTTGTAGAATTGTAAGTTTAATGGAATTGTAGTGAAGTACTCCCCTTTGCATGTGAGTAACACAATGAAGTGATCGTCTGCAGTCGTTGCGCTTCGTGAGATAGCCAAGGAATTGGGGAAAAAGGACTGGAATTTCAATGAAGATCCTTGCAGTAATCACACAAGTTGGTTTTCTGAAGCAGACCCAGCGAGACAAACTTACGTTAATCAAGTTACCTGTGATTGTTTTGGTGGCAGATGGCACTTGAAAAATCTGTGAGTCTCTCTGTCAGAGTCAATTATTATAATTAGTCATCCATGTCTCTGTTTATATAGCTGAAAGATAGTGGTGAAAAACTCCAATATGATACGTAAGTTTGTTAGATTTGGCTTACTCTGACAAGGGTAGGTACTCGTGGGACAGTTTCTGCCTTTTTTATTTTTTTTCTTAATCCTATTCCCTAAATAAGGATATTCTGATCTTTAAATTACTCTTTGATTGTTTTGGGCATGTATTTAGAAAATTTTATTGGATCAATCAATAGGTTGTTGATGATGAAAGTTTATAATACTTGCTACACTTCCAATTTCATGCTTGCCAATGCACAATTTCAACCATTGATATCTTTATATTAAAAAAGTTGATATTTTGAAAATATACAGTGAGGCAAATCTAACAAGATCCACATGACTATGTTTATCCTTGAGTATAAATCACCATAGTCAAAGTATAGTATGTGAATAATGTGAAAGACAAATTGTTGCAAGTACTTTGAAACAAAGGCAGTATTAAATTAATGATGACGAACACGAAGCCTAAGGCCTCTGATAATGAATTTAAGGGAAAGGTCGATAAATGATGGGATCAGTGTCAAGTGTGAACTTGTGAGTCAGTAGGGTTTTTTATGAGGAGCTCAATACGTTAAAATTGTTAAAGACAGGAATGTTGGAGATTTTGGTATTATTGTATACTAATGGGCGTTGTAGCTGTGCTAATTGAATGAATATATACAATAAGCCATGGAATTTTTTTTTTTTTTTTTTTTTTTTTTTTTTTTTTTTTTTTACACTTGGAAATTTTTCTAGGACATAAGAACTGCATTTGTATAACCCACATTACCAATAGAAATCTTTCTCTGATTGGCGAAATTTTCTCATTAGAGAACTATACAGATTTGGGAATACATATACAAAATAATGGGAGTGTGGGCTGTTAAAATTGGACTATTTGAAATGACCTTTTACTTATATATATATCACATCAGGGATCTTGCTATTGATGATTTTCTAATGTTTTTGCTATTGATAAAATATTTAAAAACCACTTATTTGGTTGAATCATCTTGAATAGTTGAAAGGAATGGCATTGGAAAGAAAAACCGTCCAATTCACATATTTGTATTGATGTAATGTTTTGGGGTTGGAAAGAATGCCAAGTAAACTATAGGAAAGTTTCAGTTTTCGCTTTTCCTCAAATTTGGTGGAATTTGGATGGAGGGAAAGCAAGAAACATGGATTCCTCAGTATTAATTAACACTAAAGTAGGTAAGTCACAACTCCTTTGATTAATTAAACAATAGAACTCCTAATTTGATCCCTTTCTTTACGATCCCCATTCTTTTCATTTTCCTCCATTCTGAGAAATTTTAAAAACCAAACAAAGCTGTCGAGGAAGCATATGTTATGCTTAGAGGAGTTGAACCTTAGTCTTGAAAATAGAACAAGCTTTGAAGGTAGCATGTGTTATGCTTAACTTAGAGGTATGGGGCTCAGGATTATAGTCCCATACATGCTGTAAAGGAAGATTGTTGTATACTGAATCCTTGGGACCTGAAACCCCACCTTCATAGTTTGAACTATGGAGTTTGAAAGGTCTCTATTTTGTAGTGTTGGTCTGTCCTCTTCTCTCTACATGCTTTATTGCTTTGACGCAAATCCTTTTTTCTGTAAAATGTGTACATATAGCAATTATAATTCTTACGCATCGTTCACACTTCATTTACTGATCCTCTGTTTCCATTTGAATGAAGCTTGAGATAGAAATATCAGTTTTATTGCACTCAAGTCTTTGGCAGTTGACTTATTAATTTTGTTGCTTGAACAGGTCCATTAAGGGTCAAAGTCTTTCTGGTAGCCTTCCGAAATCATTAGTGAAGTTACCCTACCTCAAGACAATGTATCAGAATGCTTGTACTTCAGTTTTCTTTTCAGAATTTTTTTGTATCATAATTTTGGTTTTCATAGCTGGTCATATAGAAATTTCGAGGACTAACATTATCTTATCTTAATTTTCAGTGATTTGTCGAGGAACCTTCTCAGTGGTATGATACCTAAAGAATGGGCTACAATGAAATTGGAATATTTGTATGCAACATTAATCTTCTAATCTGTTTTAGGATTGAATTTGCTTCTTTTCTTTCTTCCTATTTTTTTTTTTTTTTTTTTTTTTTTTTTTTTTTTTTTTTGTATTTCCATAACTATGGAGTGGCTACAGGTCTCTTATGGCGAACCAACTGTCTGGTCAAATTCCAAAGTTTCTGGGGAACATTACAACTCTCACTTATTTGTATGCCTTTTATTTCCTTTAATATATTGCAGACACAGTTGTATTTTTATCATATAGAAGGTCTTGTATGGACCCGGTCTATATTGTATACCCAATATTTGACACTCCCAAATAATATAGTCACATTTTGGATGATATAATCACTTTTTTAGATGATATAATTTTCTTGTATGAGTCAAATTCTGAATGATATAGTCGTATTTTAAATAATCTATCTTTTGAATGATATAATTACTGTTTGATACTTTTTTCAATGATACATTCACTTTTTGAATGATACATTTACACTGCAAATAATATAATCAGTTTTTGGATGATATAATCACTTATGGATGATATACTTACACCTTTAGAACGTTATAATCACATTTTGTATGATATAATCACATTTTGAATGATATACTAGATGGTTGGGTGCACAATAAGTACCAAGTCTATTCTAGAATTTTTATTTATCATATATTTAATTGTAAGTCAATTTATTACTTATGCTTTGTCACTGGTAATACTAAATCTCAGAAGCATTGAAAGCAATTCATTTTCTGGAACTATTCCTGCAGAGCTTGGGAAGTTGGTCAACCTAAAAAATTTGTAGGTCATTTGCTTCTTATGACAATGATCTGTTTGCTTATACAGGCAACCAAAGTATTGCATGGTTTCCTTCTTCTGAAACTTTAATGACATTGAAGAGTTTCCTGGTTGCCTGTTGCTAGACTGCTTAATGACAACAATCTTGCTGGACAATTACCAATTGAGCTAAATAAGCTAGTGAATTTGATCGAACTGTAAGAATGTCCTGACTGATATGGAATTTTATTTTTTAAATTTCATTTCAAAATTGATTTTATTATAAATTGGGAAACATTGCCCATTTTGTGGTCATAATGCTCCCTTTTTTTTTTCACTTGGTTATCAGTAGGATAAGCAGTAATAACTTCAGCGGACAGATACCCAATTTTTTTCATCATTGGAAACAACTTGAAAAGCTGTAAGTCTTTACTGCTTCAATGTTTGTTGAACTGCAGAGTGCAGACTGTATGATGACATCTTTAATTTACCCAAATTTGATTAATTGCAGACAGATTCAAGGTAGTGGCTTTGAAGGACCAATACCAACCAGTATATCACTGCTGACAAACTTAATTGAATTGTAAGCAAACTGTAAACAAATTATGTTAAGCGAGTCTCTGTAATCTGCTGTAAGCTCAAACTAATTTAGATATGTTGGGAAAATATGCTAATATTAAGCATGATATGTACAGAAGGATTAGTGATTTGAATGGAGAAGGCTCCGAGTTTCCATCTCTAGAGAATCTGACAAGCTTGATGCGATTGTGAGTTACTTTTTCCTTTTGTGAAAGAGCTCTCTCAAAAAAAGCATATAATTGGTGACCGCTGCTGACATCGCCATTTTTTACTATTACTTATTTTAATTGTTTGTCACTAACTTTTTTTTTCTTCTAGGATGTTAAGGAGCTGCAAGCTTTCTGGGCCTATTCCTCCTTATATATCAGCCATGTCGAGATTGAAAATTTTGTAACTCTCTTCTTCATGATTTTCATTTCAAGTTTGTTGGGATTCTTTTTTGTTAATTTTTTGTTAGATGTTTAAAAAGATTATGTAAAGTCTTTAAATCAAGTTGCATATACCTTGGCAGCTTGGCTTTGATCTGACTAGGAGTCAAACTTCCAATCCAACACTGATTCAAGTAATCCTACTCTGCTTAGCCTTGGATCCTCCAACTTCGATCTAATTCCACCTCAAATCATTTTCCCCAGGAAACAATTATATATCGATATTTACATAGAAACTAATGTTATTGGGCTTTTAATATCTTAATTTAACTAGTTTTTATACCGTGCAACGCTCTGGTTGAATTTTTTATTCAATGATATGAGTATTTATTATAATTTTCTTAAACTTTGCTAAATTGCTTATATATATTTAAGACATTTTTTATATCTTAATAAGATAAATTCATAGGTTAAGGAAAATGAGGAATCAATAAAACATTGAAATAGGATTAGCACAACCCTCGTGAAAAAAGATAAATGTTACACACATGTTGGAATATTATGGAACCAAAATTGATGTAGATTAATTAAAAATAGTAATGATTTGAAAAGTTCAGAAATAAGTGAAAAGTTGATGTAACTTTAATATAAATAACACTGTCATTAAGGTTTGGAAGGCTAAGAAAAATGAGAAATTAATGCAACCTTTCATGTGAAAGAAGAAAGGATTAAATGCAAAATGTTTAAAATTATAGACAAATAAGAATATGATAACTATTAAAAAAAAAAAAAAAAAAAGAATATGATAACTATGAAAAAAAAGGAATATGATAACTGGCGCAAAAGACAAAACGTTCCGGTTATTCCTTGCACTTTTTTTTTTTTTTGCGTCACTTAGATTTGTACACTATTCATATATTAACTTTAACTTAATTATTTTACTAATATATATATATATATATTATATATATATATATAATATATATATATATATTGTTGGATTGGTCACGATGTCTAATTTTATAATGTGTTAATAGTCAAAGTTGTGTATTGGTAAATGTGCTGGTCAAAGTGATGCATTTAAAAAAACTAGAGAGAGTATAAAATATGAGAATATATGCTCTAGTTTTAATTACCTCTTTCGTTTTTTAATTTATTTTTAATCTTCCCATTTGCATGGTCTCCAATGTACAAATTTAACCACAAATATTTCTACAAACTTATATTTTTTATAAATATTTAAAAGTTGATAATATGAAACTAAATGTTTGCACGATTCTAACAATGACCCATCTATATACCTATACTAAAGAAGAGTTTTTTTTTTTTGTAGGGAATTTTCCCTCCTAAACTCTACTTTACTTTATTTTTTCTTAAGATTTTTACAGAACTATTAATTTGTGTAGGAACTTTATTATTTAATTATTTTTTAATATGCAGATTTTTCTACACTGCTATATTTGAATTTCAATTATTATTAGAATTATCTAGTATGATAATTTTTTTGATACACATAAATTACAAAATGTGGTTAAAAATCTTAAGGTTTGACTCTCCCCAAAAAAAAAAAAAAAAAAAAAAAAAAACAGAAAAAGGGAGTAACACTATACTATGCCTCATTTGCTTATAGAGATTGAATAATTTCATTAATGTTATGTAAATCACTTGCTACATTTAGTTTTGTGGAGAGTTTTTATCTTATTAAGGCTTATCAGAGGCTTGACCATTCTGAAAAAGCTATTTTGGGTGTTTGGTAAGCAGCTTATTGAAAGATCTTTTTGGGCACAAATAGCTCTTTTTATAAAAATCCCATAATAAGAATTTTTTGAAATTAGCTTATTGAACATTTAACTTTCTAGTTATTACATACACTGAAATAGCTAACAATTATTAATTATTTACCAAACACTTTTACACAACCAGTTAATAAAACTAACTAGTCAAACCAATTAATAAGTAAGCAATATCAATTAGCTACCATCTAATTACCTACACATAGAATAGGGCGGTTGGAGTCGGAGTCTACATAACATCCAACTCGCTCCCATCCCTTAATCAGATTCAATTTTTAATTGGATATGGAGTTGGATTTTTGGATTTAGTTTAGATTTTTTTAGCTTTGGACAGGTCGGATTTGGAGTGAATTGCCATTCCTACTAGTCCGTACTATCTTGCTGCAATTTGGTGTGAGGATCTCTGAAAGGAGAATGTCTATGTCCTAAATCACAGTGGCTGGTAGAAGGGACTGACCTTTAGTGGCTTTGATTTGGAAATACGATAGCTGTGGGACTGTGAGGAGGAAGCAGTTAATAATGCATGCTTTACAGTGTCGAAGATTGTTATTTGATAGAAATTTTGAATCAATCAATCAGTAATAATTCAAGGAACTGGTGATTTTGAGCCAGATAAGCATTAAATTTACGGCATGTGCCGTGCCATGTTCTCTTATCTGCTCCATGAACCAGAACTAATGGTTGATGAAGTATAAAGAGTGACTAAGGTATGCATAGCATTTAAGCTTTTCTGCCGAGGACAGGGGTTATACCATTATAGTCACCTATGTTTTAATTGTTTCTCTTAGTTTTTGCTATGATGAAACATAGCTGGAAAGAAGTGGTATTGAAAACAAAATGCCCTAGAGTCCTATACTGCCCTTTTTCTTTAATATAGTTTTTTTTAGCAATCTTTCATCCAGAATTCTAAATATATATTAGCTTCTTCTTTGACATTCTTTTTCAAAAGTAACTGCTGATATCTGTCATATAATTTTACAGGGATCTCAGCTTCAACAAATTGAATGGATCTATTCCAAACGAGCTTCAATATTTAAATAAATTGCAAAACATGTAAGCAGTTTAATTTATGCAATTCAGTTACTACTATGTCATGTCATAGTTAAGCCACCAGAATGATGCACCAATCTGCTTTTTCATTTTGAACTTTGGCATCTGTCCCTATAATAGTCTGATATTTTCAAAGACAAGGACTGCTGCAAGTATCTTATCATGACTGTCTTTTGCTACATTCACCATCTTCCTGCCCACAAATAATTAAAAAATGGATAATAGATTAAAGGAGAAATGGTGCAATCTGACCATCACTAAAGACCAGACAGCTGGGCATTGCTATTTCTTCGATTATCTATTCTTATTATAAGTGATTCTAGCATTATGTTTTTAGTTATCAAAAGTGTAAAAAGTCGAAGCTTAATTTTGCAGAAAATAAAAATTGTATTGCTACAAGCTATTTTCTTTTGTCTTTTTTTTTTTCCTATTTTTTGGGAGGCTGGGGGCAGAATCATAGAAGATTTTAAAAAATTGATCTATATAGACCCCTTTCTCTACAATTCTTCATTTTAGGCATATGTTAATGCATATGCTTGCTATAAAGTGATATGTACGGAGAAGGGCAGTTGCATTACAAATAAATTGTCTAGTAGTTTGAAGGAGAACATAATTCTTAGTGGGAAAGCTCCATAAATAGAAAATAGCTGGAGAGATGTTATCTTAACATATGCCTAAAATGAAGAATTGGAGAGAGGGGCAGTTGCATTACAAATAAATTGTCTAGTAGTTTGAAGGGAAATACAATTCTTAGTGGGAAAGCTCCATAAATAGAAATTAGCTGGAGAGAGATTATCATGTTATTAAAGAAAGGATATACTTTGGAGAGTTCCAGCCTCTCGAATGTCTATTAGGGAGAGAATAGGCCTCTCAAAGAGTCAAAGCTTGTGCTATCTATTTAATTTTATTTAAATGCAAGTATTGTTTTTTTTTTTCCTATTAAATTCCGTGTTAATTGTCCAGTTCTTCGTTTTATCAATCAAAATCACAATTTTCTGCTCTATATAGTCATCCGCATTGTGCTGGCTCATTACAATGCTAGTTGGTGGTGAGGGGGGGAGGGGGTGAGAGGAAGAAATCTTTGAGGACCTTAACTCTGACAACTACTGGGACCATATTGATTCTTGATATAAGTAATATGTACTGCAAACATCTTGGGTTAAAGGTACTACAAACGTCTCTGAAAGTTTTTTTGACACCTCTATCAAAGTTGGTGTCATGATAGCACAAATCATAAATCATGTATGTTGCACTAATTTGATACCTGTTCACTTTTTAACAATGTTAGACTGTGTTTGTGTAGTAACTCATTGTGTTTGCACCCCATTGATTTGGGCCTCATAATTTTACAGAAAAATACTTGTTGCCAATTTCAGGTATTTAACAAGCAATATGCTAAGTGGACCTGTTCCAAATTGGATTACAAATAAAGCGGACAGCAGGTTTGATATTTTTGACTGAAGTTCCGATTGGACTTAAATTGCAGGACCTGAAAATGTCTCTACACCCTTAGAAACCTATTTAGAAGTATATATGTTTACATTAATGCTGAATGTCAATATTTAATGTGCATATGTGCTGGCATACATCTAGGCAAGCACAATACCTTAATCATCCATAATTAAATCCAGGCTATACCTACTTGATATTTTAGCAATGTGAAGTACTACTGGACATTGGTTATTTCTTTATGTTTGCTTGGGATAGCCTTATTGTCATGGCCTGAGTGTTCTTTGGTCACCGGATCTTGTGGGGGCACTGGTGTGCATGTAGTGATAAAAAGATGACGTTTGATTTTTTATGAGACACTCTTGCCTATTGGTGACAACTCGACAAGAGCGATAAGTCAATAATGAGAGTTGATTGTGTGCTCAGCAGGTCAAAGTGGGGCCGGCAATGAGAAAATTGAGTGTGAGGGACTTTATTGTGTTTGGGGTGCATTAAAATGAATTATATACTCAATATCTATGTTGCCTATAACACAACCAAATTATTAAAGCAAGACAGCATGGGGTAGGAGGCTTTGATTCTCATTCATTAATCATCAGTCACTAAAAGCTTAATTTTGGAATTACAATGCTCTCTTAATGCGTATTAGATTGCTAGTAACTTCATAGTTGTATTTAAAGCCTAGATAACCTTAGGAATTATTCTAAAAATCATTATATAACTAGCATAAGAATTTACTAATTTAGTAAACTGTTTGCGTAAAATAGACTTGAGATAAAAAGTATGAGAAAGAAGTAGGGCTTCATTCCAATTTCTTTAAGAGATAAGGTGATAGTAACACATATGAGTTCAGAAAAAGAAGAAATGTAAATGAAGTCATATAATCAAACTTGGAAAGGGGAGCAACCATTTTTTGTCCGGTTTTCTCAATTATATAATTTGTCCACTTCACATTATTGCTCCCGTTTGCGAACTCCATGCTTACAATGTTTGGGTTCTTTAATCATGGAGGCATCCCCATTATAGAGTGATAGATGAGCTCAACTTGATCTTCAAGGTTCTACAACCTCAACTTTTGGAGAAAGAGGGCCCTAGGAGGAGGATGGGGATTCAACAGGCACCGTTTTTTTGTAACTCATTTTTGGGTTGTCTATCTTCTCTGCCAAGGCTTCCCCCTCTTCTTGGTTCACAAATTTATTGAGAGGGTCAGAGTTTATCTTTCTGAGAGTGTTTGTGTGGACCTTGGCTCTGAGCAGAATCAACTCCAACTATATGCTCTAAAGGAAAACACCGAATATAGCTTTTACCAGATATGTGATTGTTTTGTTCTGCCAATAGTGAGATATACTTGTATCTCTTTCTTTAATGTGAGATGGCAAGTAATATTTATAGGAGGCTATTTGCTTTGTATGGAGGGTACTGGTTTTCCCTTGTAGAGTTTTGTATTTGATGCAAGTTCACTTTGTGGACGTTGGAAGGGCAAAGGAGAAGATGATGTGGTGACTAAGCTTAGAACAGACTGCTCGAATCTTCATCAGAGAATAAATTGTGCTACTATGTGAGCTAATACAGTGATGGATTTTGTGTAATCTGTATTTACTATCTGAGGACAACTTGTCCTGTGTTCATGTACTTTCTGCAGTCTGCTCATATATAACTACTTTTTCTTCATCAGAGATATATCTGCAAACATTCCTCTAGGAGTTTTAATTTTGAGTTTTTCCGTTTAATAAGATGCTTTTATGTGTATTGTTAAAGTTTGTTTCCTTATTTTATTTTATTTTTATTTTTTCCATGTATTTTTGCTTACAGCCACATAGATCTTTCATACAACAATTTTGATGAACATTCTGCACCGTCTTCTTGCAATAAAGAGACTCTGTAAGATTCTGTGAGACTCTTCTTCCTTCAAATTTGGCAGTTACTCTGCTCTTGTGAAATTAATGTTTGTCATTATCATCTTCAGAAACTTGTACAGAAGCTTCTCAAGGGGAGAGAGCCTGTAAGCTCGTCAACTGCTTTTGTTTTCTATAGGCAGATTTTAATCTCTTGTGTGATATAAAATCCTAACTTGTCTTTAATATGGGTCAAAACTTCATGCAGAAAATCTAGTGTCTGCTTGAAGAGCTTCAATTGTAAAGGTGCAATACATCTTCAACTTTCCTAACATTGTGATGCAAATTTCCTCCCTTTTCCCATCCCCACACAGTCACACACTCCCACACATTATACCCATTTATTTTTAATTATTATATATAATTTCCTCTAGTTTCTTTTATTGTCAGGCTCTGTTGCATTCTATAATTAAAAAGCACTTATAAGTAAACAGAAGCAACATCCTGACAAATTCTATTAATTGGATGCTTTGTCTTGATATCATGCGAATCATTAAGAGGAAAAAAATTATTTTTTTTCCTTCATGTTTGTTTTCTTTTGACATGTATTTTCATATAAGAAGCTCGGTATTCAATGCATATCAACTGTGGTGGAAAAGAGACCACCATCGCAGACTCTACATATGAGGAAGATGATGAACGTGGGGGCGCTGCAAAATTTGTTCCCAGAAGGGCAGATTGGGGATTTAGCAGTAGTGGGGAATTCTGGTTTTCACAAGTTCCTGGTAATTATATTGCGAAAGGCAACCCAATGCTAAGATTGCCGGACTCAAATCTATACACGAGAGCACGGTTGTCAGCTACATCTCTAACATACTATGGTAGTTGCTTGGGAAAAGGGAACTACAGTGTGACACTTCATTTCTGTGAGATAGTTTTTTCTAACAATTCTTATTCCAGTCTCGGAAGACGGATGTTTGATATATATATCCAGGTATATTTTAAAAGCATCACAAAGCTCATAGAATTATTAATGATCATGAATAGATTCAGTAAGCATTATCTATATTTTCATTTTTGTAGGATAAGCTTGTTCACAAGAATTTTGATATAGTAAAGGAAGCAAATGGAACTAGTAAGGTTGTAAAGAAGGTATATCAACATATACCCGTGAGTGATTCTGTAGAAATCCGTTTCTATTATGCTGGAAAAGGGAGCACAGGGATACCTTTAAGAGGAACATATGGCCCACTTATATCTGCAATTTCTGTCAAGTCTGGTAAATGTTCTTTAGCTGAAAGTTCTTATTTCATTCATTTTATGGCTTCTTATCCATAGCAGTAGTATTATCTAACTTCTTTTTGGCTTTGTTAAATTGCAATTAAATTGATTTTCCTAATAAGCTAGTTGTCAATACATCTGAGTATGACCCAACTTAAAAGACATCAGCGGAAAAAAAGGAACCATCATCTGTATTGAATGGACCATGACCTGAAATTCATGATCTGTTCATGACCTATAGCTGCTGTTGTGTGATTGATAATGTTTGCACATATGATATTGGCTCTTTGGTCACAAGATCTTTTTTTTAGAGTGCCTATGAGGAATTTATGTTTTAACTAAAAGACTAATTCGTTGCACTGATATTGATCTAAGAAAAATTGCGTGCTACTTCAATTGCATATCTTGCTGGTCTATTAAAACATTTCCATTGTTATCTAAGGAACGAACTTTCTACAATCTTAGGAAAATGGAATTTATTTTGACATCGTGGCACAAAAAAAAAAAAAAAAAAAAAAAAAAAAAAAAAGAAAAAGAAAAAGAAAAAAGAGTCAATGACAATTTGTTTGTGATGCTATAATAATTTAACTGTGTGTTTATATGTTCTATCACCTCATAAGATAATTAAAGAAACTCCCTTTTGCATGTTAGAGTTCAAACCTCCTCCTGATAGACAGAAGATTATAAAGATTTTAGGTGGGGTTGCAATTTTAATGGTGTGCACCACTCTTTTCGGTCTTTACATTTGTTGGTGGAAACATGGCTCGAGAGACATGGCAACAAGAGAAAAAGGTAATTTACTCCTTGAACCTTAAATTAATAGATTTTCTTCTCATAATTCAAGCTCATACCCTCAAAAGCAGTTTCAGATTTACTATGTGTTGATTTAACTGTCACGGTATCTAATCTTATGAAAGAATAAGTTGATCACTGAACATAAACTTGCATAAGTATCCAAAACATAACTCGCAATTGCTAACCATGAAGTTGCATGAAAGATCAAGGTAAGGTTGACGACTAGGACTTTTGTGATGTAGACAAAATCGATATTTGAAAATGAAGATTGCCTAATATGGATGAAGGTGTAGAATACTAGTGAAGTGGACAAATTTAATATTTGAAGATATAATATGCTAGAATGTATGAAGGAAAAATATATTCTATTGGTTTTTCTGTTAAAAGGGTCTATGCAAATCCTGAAATTCTATGTTAGTTGTGGATCTTATTTGTAAGGTGCCTTTATTTTTTTTCAATGCTTAATCTTTTTAGACTGTGCACAGTTCTTGCTGGACTTGATCTGCAGACTGGGTAAAATGCTTTAATCTTTTTATACTGTGCACAGTTCTTGCTGGACTTGATCTGCAGACTGGGTTATTTACTTTTAAGCAAATCAAAGCTGCCACCAACAACTTCAGTGCTGACAGTAAAATTGGAGAAGGCGGATTTGGTTCAGTATACTTGGTAGGTTTCATAATTATCAATTTACTAGCAAGATCTTGATCCTTCTAGCTTTAATGACACAATGCCTTCACTGCATACAACGTAGAGTCATAGCTATATTTATGTGCTTAATGTTCACTTTATGACATAGGGGATACTGCTAGATGGTGCCCATATTGCCGTGAAGCAACTATCATCAAGATCAAAACAGGGGAATCAAGAATTTGTGAATGAAATTGGCATGATCTCTGGTTTGCGTCATCCAAATCTTGTAAGACTGTATGGATGTTGTGTTGAGGGAAATCAGTTATTCTTGATATATGAATATATGGAGAACAATAACCTTGCACGTGCATTGTTTGGTAAGTAACAATTGTGATTGATAAATCCTTACTGTATACATGTGCTCTGAATAAAGAATTATACCTATTCTTTAATCAAATGGGTCACATCCTGGGTATTTAGTTGATTGGAAGAATGGTTCATTTTGTTCCCTGGATTTTTTTTTAACATTTCATAATTCTTAGTTATATTTACAGGAAAAATAAATAAATTTAGTGGGACATGGCTGTAATTGTATTTTTAATTTACAGGAAGAAGTCACCTGAAATTGAATTGGCCTACTAGACAGAAAATTTGCATTGATGTGGCAAGAGGTTTAACCTATTTGCATGAGGAATCAATAATAAAAATTGTTCATAGAGACATCAAAGCAACCAATATACTGCTTGATGGAGACCTCAATGCTAAGATCTCAGACTTTGGACTGGCTAAGCTTGATGAAGGGGAGCACACCCACATTAGTACTAGAGTTGCCGGAACAATGTGAGTAAATTATCTAGTGACTTTGCTGCTGTAGGCCTTTTATCTTTGTTGGATTTTGCATACTTCATTGTTTGTTACCCTAGTTACAATTTCCTTTTCTATGCCATCTACTTGGATCCAACTTGCCAACACTTAAAGAGTGTCATCTTGCGTGATGGATTTTGACGTTTACAAAAATGAATCTTTGATGCATAAATTTTTTTCTCGCTTGATGGAAAACAACCCTTACTACTCCTATTGCTACTACTACTCCTGACACTACTATGGAAGAAGATTGGAACCTAACGTTGATGTGTTGCTAGCCAAAAGTGGATTTGTTTTATGGTAGACAAAAATTTAGATAATTGTTGGTTTTGCAATTATAGAAACAGGGAGTCAGGATTAGCGGTGCTAACAAGCCAGGCTAAGACCACCTCGATAGTGGTGAGCTTGGGTTTGGCTCGAGCTAGAAGATCTTAGAAATTGAGCTCGGCTTGAGCCCGACACTTAGGCTTTTAGCTTGAGCTCAAAACCACTAGACAATACATGACCTCGACTCGACTTGAGCTCGATCATCAAATGTTTGATTTAGTCAGCCTCCGAATATGAAAAGGACCCCCAAGGCCTAATTATCAATGAATAATTTTAGGTAACAAATTATTTTAGAAGAAAATAATATTAATATAAAAAAATATTTAAGCTTGTTCACGAGCTTTCGAGCTGAGCCAAGGATAGCTCAAGCTTGGCTTGTTAAGTTTGGAGCCGAATCCAAACTCGATTTAAGTTTGACTGAGTTTTGACCAAGCCAAGCATCGAGCAGTTTGCAAGTAGGCTTAGCTCGTTAACACCCTTATTCAGGAAACATTGAACCACAACACAAGTGATTTAGGAAACATACTGATATAAAAGTAAAACTTAAAAAAAGGACAAGGACTTCATTTTGTGAATAGTTCGCACGGAGACATTCCTTATGAAGCTAAACCACTTTTTATTATATACTAGTACTTTATAGAAATGGTTACTTAAATGACAGGCTCAATCATCTTAAGAAATGAAGTTTAATGCTTTATTTTATGGTTAATATAAGCCATCCATTGGTAAAGCTGCTTTTACTATAATAATTGTTATATCTTTTGTCATGATGAAATATTTTTTAGTGTACTGACATGGAATTGAACGTTTGTGAAGTTCTGGTTAAGTTTTGGTACTTTTTAGTGTGGAAATAATGGTTGACATGCTTATCTTGTTCTCACAGAGGATACATGGCACCAGAATATGCATTGTGGGGCTATTTGACCTATAAAGCAGATGTTTACAGCTTTGGGGTTTTGGCATTGGAGATAGTTGCTGGTAGAAACAATACAAATTTTAGACCAGATGATAATTATTTCTGCCTCCTTGATTGGGTAAGCTATAATTTAAGTCCTTATATTCTTGCTCTGTCATCCAGAAACTTCACTTAGCAACTTGATTTAGGAGGTATACTGAAAAAAGGGCATTCACAATTGATTGGTCATGGCATTTCTTGAGCTAGATGGGTTTCTGCTGTAGGCAGAACTTTTTTGATACTCATTCTAAGATGAAGTGCTAGTCAAGAGGTAGCTACTTGCCTTCCAAATCATGGGTCCAATCACAAATGGAAACAACCTTGTTGTAAATGTAATTTTTGCCAGATAGAGGCACTTCGCAATTGTGCTGGTATTATGTACACTTGGTTCTTCACTCTCCCCCACCCCCCCCCCCCCCAAAAAAAAAAATTAAAAAAAAAAACCTTCTGTTTCTAGGTGAGAGCCCTGTATATTTTAAATTTCTTTACCAGAAACGTAAGTTCATCGTGTCAAGTGACTTGAGGTAGAAAATGGGGCTAGAGTGTCATATATATGAGCCAACCCTATCTAGCATCAACCAACCAGACCACTTCATCGTTTTTCATTAAATGCATTGATGATGACAAACTAGAGTAATAGTGGATCGATTTGGTGGGCAAACTAGAGTAAAATATGCTTTATGTTTAAAATTACCTTAGATATGGAGTGATTTGGTGGGCAAATAGGTACATAATCACAATTTGAATATATGCTTTATTTCATGACGATTTTTTTTTTCTTTTGCCTTGGAATCTACTTTTTTCCGGCTTTCTATTCTTCGCAAACAATGAAAAATGATTTTCTAAATTTAATGGTCATTTCATTTATCGAATATTTTTGAATGCCGTTCTACCGTTACGTAAAGGCAAGTTGTGTGTGAATTTCAAAGCACTGTTATACAACGGCTTTTCTAGCTATGCCCAAACCCGTTACAAAGCAGCCGTTATAGTACGGAACGCCCGAGTTTTATTCCATGGCCAGATCTACTCTAAATTGTCTCAATGGTAATTTTGTATTTCTTTTTGTTTGTTTTTGGTTTTGTATTATTAAGATAGTTAAATGGCACTTACAAACAATTCTTAAGAAATCTAAAATTCCAATACAAGTATATATTACCTTACATCACAGATTAGGTCAACGATCACCTTAATAATAAAAAATAAAAAAAATAACAAATAAAAAAACCTTAATCTAAAGCAATACAATATGTGAGCTAGCATTAATTCTGCTTGAAATTCATTGATGCATAGTTGTTTGAGTGAAAAATACTCATATGGTCTTCTAGCGAAAATTATGAAACTCTAGATCTTCAATTCTCGCCGAACAAACAAACAAAGAAATTAAACATAATAGAATAACCACCATATTAAAGACGGAATCTATTTATTGAAAGCAATGAAAAAGTTTTTGGGGCTTACCACCGGTAAAAACATCTGTGGAAGCCTTTACAAAGATTCACAATTGAGAGCATGAAGAAAAGAGATGAAAATGGAGAGAAAAGGGAGAAGAATGAAGGAAAACTTCCCAAAAAAAAAAAAAAAAAAAAAGAAAAAAAAAAATACCTAGCTATAGAGGCTAGAAAAACCCTCTTTGGGGAGAAATTTTAGAGGAAACCAGAAAAACCATCTCTAAGGAGAAACCCTAGAGAGAACCAAAATAATGGTAATTTTGTTTTTTTTTTTTTATCTGTATGTAGTTGGTTTTGATCAAATCAAAGTTTTCATTTTGGATGTGCTTATATGAAATAGGGAGGAAAATGGCTTTCTTGTGATCAGATTTTGTTCTTATATTTTGTTTGGATAGATTGAATCTGTTCTTAAACTTGCTTCTGTGTTCAGGGCTTTGCTTTGCAACAACAGAACGGAAATTTGATGGAACTAGTGGATCCGATGCTTGGCACTGACTACAATAAGGAAGAAGTACTCAAAATGATTAAGATTGCTTTATTATGCACTAATCCATCTCCTGCAGTAAGGCCAGTGATGTCTGAGGTACTAAGCATGCTTGAAGGAAAAATGCTTGTAAAAGAACTGACCCTGGCACCTAGTGGCTGCAACAGTGACTGGTTTTATGAGGCATCTAAAGGGTATCACGATATGACATCAGACAGTGAAACTCACAGCTTAATTCGCTCTCCAGATGCAAGGAATGGCTGTTCGTCTACTTGTCATGCTAAGCCCCCGGTAATTGAAGGAGATCAAACATAAGGTTTTATCATTCTTTCAGTTTCGTAGAAGGGTACATAAGATCAAGCATTGGTTGATCTTAAAAACTTGGGATGTGTTAGAATCTAACATCTTCATATTTTAGATGCTTTCTAATTTCCTAGGCCTTAGATTCTATTGTTATATACTTGTATGTTTTTTTCAATCTAATGTAGTTTACACTAGGAAATGTAATTTCAAAATTAAGCTCTGTAAGGAGATGTGATCAATTAAAGATTTATGTTCTTAAACTCAAGTTTTGCTACTAATGCTTGTGTCGTTACCTTTATATAAAATTGAGTCGTCACATGCATACTGTCCTAAAATTTTGAGATGCCCCAAACTCAATAACCGATCATACTTTTGTCCTCCTTGACTCACTCCGCCATCACAAGCTCCAAACAACTCACACTCCTAATTAATAGCCAAGAGTGTCCTTCCGTAATCAGATATGTGTTCGTGTTGCTTATTGCTTAGTTCCCAATAGTGCCTTGTGCATTCAACTTTTCCTCGTCCAATCAACAAGTTTGTGTCACATAGATACAATGTTAAAACACTTAAAATGTGACCCAGTAGTTGATTTGGAGAATGGAGTGATTCGACTCCTCTTTCTCTCTTCTCATCATATGCATGCAAGTCTGCGACTAAGCTTGCCATCGCCTACACATCGTTTTTCCCCTCCAACAACTTCGTTGAAAAAACCTCATTAGAGCTAGGAGATGAAGTTGTTGGCTGGGAGACATACGTAGGAAGTTGGGGTGGTGTAGAATAAGACAATGATGTGATGTAGGATAGGAACTATGGTTAGTATATTAATGAAAACTAGCTCATTTAGACTAGAGGTGATCATCAATAGCCTAGTCCACTATTTTTATTCGACTTTGCTGAAAAGTGTAGGTTTGGGCAAGCATAAAAAACTTTTATTTAGTTCAAAGCCCGAGCTCGGCTCAAAATTGTTAGAACAAAATGGAGGATAGAACAAGAGAGACGGGATATTTCTTCTAAGCACGTAACTTAATGCCGCTTTCCTAATAGTTTATTATCGCCCCTTTATGAAACAACCGGGTTATCACATAAAACTATTGAGATACAAAGAAGAGACCAATTGATTTAGGCTGTTTCCCTAAATCAATTTATAACTTAAGAAGTTTGTGAACAAGTGTTTGTAAAAGTCAAGAGAAAATACTCGAGAAATTTCCCTCAAAAGAAGCAAGTTTAATAATGTTTTTCTTGATCATCTTTTTATCATATATTCACATCAGATAACCATCGCTATTTATAAAGAATGAGGGATGTGCAGAGAGTCCTTCAAGAGTTATGTCTTTTCACCCAAAAGAAACATAAACATAAATTAAAGGGGGTACTAAATGCATGGATAATTTTTCCTAAATGCAGAATAAGTTAATTTTTCAGAAAAGCTTACATTCCAATTTTGCCCTTGTTTTAATTTAATCCTTTACACTCCTAACTATATAATCATCCCTACTCCCTTCCAAAATATATATATATATATATATATATATATATATATATATATATATATAATCATCCCTACTGTTTAATTTACAAGCATATTTTAACATATTCAACCTTTCATCCTATTTAATATTCAATACTATACAAAATCATGGACAATAATGAAGTGCACTACGACGTTTTTTTTTAGGTATGAATATTATGTGCTGTGAATTTATTTATTTTTCCGCAAAATCTAATTTATAGATGGACAATCAAACAAATTAAAATTTTCATCTTGATTGGAACTTCAACAATATGATTTTCGAGGGTCAACAATACCCGTCGGATATGATTTCCGGGGTCCAACAATAACCCCCGGATATGATTTTCGGGGGTCAACAATACCCCCCAATATGATTTCTGGGGGTCAACAATAACCCTCGGATATGATTTCCGGGGGTCTCGATATGATTTTCGGTGGACAACGATACCCCCAGATATGATTTCCGAGGGTCGACCATACCCCCCAATATGATTTCCGAGGGTCTACAATTCCTCCCGAATTCATCTTCCGGAGGTTAATGTAGGCTATCGGCTATATTTTTTGGGTTTAAATTTTTAAGGCTAAATTATGTTTTAGATCATGATTTAAAATTTTTGCACTTGTTTTATAATGTTTTTATTCTTAAACATTATTATAGTAGATAAGAATAATATTCTTCTAAGTGATATTTAATTGAGATGATTTTTGTCAAAACTATGGATAGGATTATCATTTTACACCTGATGAGAACGTTAAGAATTATCTTGATGTTGGCTATCTTTTTATGACGGACACGTTATTTAAAAATCGCCAAGAACTGTTAGAATGGGTGAAAGAAGTCGGCAAAAATAATGATATGTATTTTACTATCCAACCTTCTCGAAGAAGGAATGGATTGGGATATGGTCGACTTTATATTGGATGTGAAAGAAGTGGACCTTACAGGTATAATGTTCCTTCACTCGACAAAAAATTCAAACCTAGATACAACACTAGTACAAAAAGGAATTGTTGTCCCTTTGAACTTCTTGGAGTTGAGCAAGTTGGGGGTAAATGAAAATTATTAGTTGATGTGAACAAAAGTAAACATAACCATACATTAGGGAAATATAAGCAATGGCATAGATCGGCTGCAAAATTGAATACTGAAGAATTTGAGAAGGTTGCTCATTTTAAACGAAGTAACATGAAGGCGAAACAAATGTTAAAACAAATACAATTAGAAAACCCCAAAAATGTAAGTGGAAGGAGACACATTGACAATGCATTACAAAAAATCAAAAGAAAACAAATGGGTGATTTATCTCCTATGCAATATTTTTTTAAATTATTGAAGGACTAGAGGTATTATCAATGGCATAGAAAAGAGGACGGGACTAATGTTGTTGGGGATGTCTTATTTGCCATCCCAAAGTAGTTTATCTGCTTCGATTGTTCGTTCATGTAATTCAATAGATCTAACATATCAGAGGAACATGTATGATGTGCCCTTGTTAGAGGTGATTGGAGTATCTTCAACGGGACAAAATTTTCATGTTGCATTTGGTTTCATGAGAAATGAAAAAACTACAAGTTTCTTATGGGCGATGCAAAGAGTGAAGGAATTATAGAATAACCCAGGAGCAACGGTCACATATAGAGAGTGGGCCCTTATGAATAATGATGTTGAACATGTTTTTCCATCTTCTGCACATTTACTTTGCAAGAGGCATATCACTAAAGACGTGGAGAAATATGTAACAGATGTAACGGGTAATAAAATATATGCAAAACCTTTTTCAATTAGGTGGGAAAAAATAGTTGATTCGTTAACAGAGGAAGAATACAATGTGGTCGTTGCTGAAATGGTATATGCATGGATTCCACATTTATCGACAGTAGTTGATTATGTTCACAGAATATGGCTAGATCCTTATAAACAGAGATTCGTATCCGCTTGGACCAAAAAAATTCTTCATTTTGGGCTCGTCCGACAAATAGGTAAATTTTATGATACAATTATAGTTTATGATTTCTGCATATTAAAATATATTTTTGTAGGGTGGAGAGCGCACACTCTCATTTGAAGAATTGGTTAGGAACGACTACTGGAGCTTTTCATGTGATATTTCCAAAAATTCATGATTTAGTAAAGATGCAACTTAATGAAATCAAAGCTGAAATGGACAAATCTCGTACAAAAAGTCTGCACATCACCAGATATACGTTATTTAGTTGTCTTAAGTGTAAGGTATCTCATCATGCTATTTCCTTATTAAAAAAGGAATACAATGAATGATGTAAGAAAATAGGTACAAATGTTAAGGCTTGTGGATGTGAAATGAGGAACATTTATGTTTTTACCGTGTGCCCATGAAATGTGTGAATTAATGAATACGTATACTTTAATTGATTTATTAGATGTCCATATATTCTGGAAGACAATGGACATGGCGGGACGAAATTTTCAAGAGAAAGAGGGTATAAGACAAACATCTTCATAGTGAATAGACAAATTAGTAGCAATGATGAAACAATACAATCCTGATCAACAGTACTTTTTTGCAAATGCAATGTACGCATAATATATTGTTTCCCGAATCTACCGATTTGAAGCAGCCAATACATCGCCCCCACAAAGATCGTCCAAAAAATAATCCAACAAAGAGGGATAAATCTGGTTAGGAGCATTCCGAGAAGAATGCTACTAAAGGTGAACTTAACAACTATATTTATTTTTATAAAACGTGATTTTTTTTTTAATTCTAATGTATATACTTATGTGTAAGATCGAAGAAAAAACAGAATTCGAATAAAGATCCTAAACAAGATGCTTCAAAAAAATCAAAAGGTACATTTTTAATTGTATATATTTGATTAATTATGTAGTGCATTTTGTAGTTATCTTAAAAATAACCGAAGAAGAAAAAGGGCGCAAAAGTAAGTCGTACTGAACACGTACCAACCTCCCAAAATAAATCAAAAGGTATTGCTGTTATTTTACTGTATGTTTTTAACAATAGTACGTGTTGTTAACAAAGCAAAAATTCTAACTTAATATGTTATATGAAGGGCAAAAGAAAACAACAAAGTCAAATAGATAATCATTTCCATGGCCTTGCCAATTATCCGAATTCATATTACCTTATGTTGAAGGACACATAAATGTGCGTGGTGATGGAAATTGTGGTTTTCGAGTAATTGCCACTTTTGAGTATGGTGACGAGAACAAATGGCTTGATGTGCGGCAACAGGGGCGGATCTATTAAGGGGCTTGGGTGGCACTGGCCCTGCCCAAAAATTTTTTTTTAATTTTTTTATTCAGGTGAAGGTATAAATTTATAGATTAAATACAATTTTAATGCAATAAGTAACAATAAATTAGCTTTGTCATAGTGGTAACTGGTAATGCATTGAGTTTGTGCTTAAAGTCTTAGCTTCAAGTCCTCATATAAGCATTTTATTTAATTTTTGATTTAGTGCTCCTCCACACTAAATATTGACTTACAAGATGAGTTAACCAAGCATGTGGAGTTATGTAGAGATGGAGAAGAATTTGAAAGTATAGAAGAGTATAATAGAATGCTTAATGTGGTAAATTGTGATAAGTCTCCAACTCCGTTTTCAGTATTGGTATGATACACTAGGTTTGAGCATGGTAGTCGCTACTAGATAGCAAAGAATTGTGACAAGTTGGTCTAAATTTCAATCTGTTACATTCTTACCATTGGAGACTCGATTAGATGATCAACCGCCATCTATATACATCAATTTAGCTTACGTATGGAGTAATCATTATATTTCCCTCCACATGCCATCAAATATTGCTTTACCACCTATTTTTCCTCTGACATCCATAATGGTAGCTCTGACGTGCAACAATGGGCTTCAACTATATTCAAGGATCAACTTGATTTATATCGTCAATTAAATGGTGATAGATAGACAATTTAAAGGTGTTTTAAAAATTCATAGAGGAAATTTTCTTATTGTTATTACTTTTACAAATAAAGGTTCTTAAAAGTTTCTTATATATATATATATATGTATATATATATATATATATATATATATATATATATATATATATATATATAAAAAAAATATATATATATATATATATATATATGTCTCCCCAAAACCAAACACGATGAAGAATAACCTTTCACCGCCATTATTGGTCGGGTCGAGTATTTAATCTCGGGAGTGCTTAAAATCCATATTCAAACAAACACAAGCTACAAATCAGTCAACAAATCAGTCCAAGTATTTAGTCAAAGCATAGTCCAACCCTCATTTCAGCCAAAACCCTTTTAACCCATTTCATTCTATTTATTAATCAAGACCGATTAATAAATATTAATAACCCTAAACCCAATTAAGCCTGGAACACTAAAACAGCACCTAAATTATTCCGTACTTAATGTGAAACAAAAAGATAAAAATGAATTTAGAAGGAATTCCAGAAAAGGAATCTGTAGTGTCAAGGCAAAAATGTTGCACCACGGCTGGTTTTGCCGAGACACGACAATTTGCGCTGAGACACAACAATTTCTATGTTTGATTTCTCCGCGGCGCTTCAATTTTAGGGTTCCGGACCTCACCCCTCTCATTTGCTCTATAAATATGAGGCTGATTTTTTAGTTTTGGGGCACCAAAAATCATTCTTTCTCTCTCTCTCTTATGCTCTAGCTTAAATATTTGCCTTCCCTATTCTTTCACAATACATTCCCTAAGCACTCCCCGGAGTCCGTACTTTACCCGAAGTTCTAAACCCAAACCAAGGCGTGAAAGGTAGAACTGTTTGAGGATTTGGCCCCAAATCAACTTTACTTTCGTTTGATTTAATTTCCATTATTGTTATTATTTTCCTTGAAGTTACTAACGTGTTTATCATTTTATAGTTTCAAGCAAAAACAATCAAAGTAAGGAATCATGTTCCTTTTGTTTCTATTATATTTCTAACGATTTTTGTTATGTTTGTCATATATTAATCGTTATTTTTATGGTTAAATTGCCTCCAATGTTGATGTTGATTCTATTATGTTTATTGATCACCTAATTGAATATAACGCCTAATAAGACAATTTGGACGACCGGTTTAGGATCCTTTTTAATCTTGTTGTTTAATTGAAGTGATCACGATATTTAGAATTATATGTTGCATTTACATTCAACCAATTTAGCCTAATATTAGTTTGGAGCAAATTGAATCTTTGTTTGTATACCTTTGAGATTGCAGGAATTACTTTTCACAATAAGAATCAAGTAGAGGCCAATAAGGGTGAATGTGTCCATGACTCACTTCGTACCATCATCCCCGATCCTCCTTTCGTGCTTCTGAACCATATGCAGTTAGTAATATCATGAATTATGAATGGGGTGTAACCTTCACGGGTCAATCGTTTTTGCTTTTGTTGTCCCTTAATCATGGTTGTCTTATAATGATACGTGAACGGTTTACTAGTTCCTTAAAAACTTGTTGGTGGCTCCCTACTTTGCTTTGTCCCTAATCGTATGCCAATTTCCACTTCCTATGATTGCCAAGCATATTCACAACATGCTTAAGCAGGTGCGCTTCGAATGACGCCAACAATAGTAAGTGTTTATAAATCAATCAAAATGATTGTAACAAGTGTCGGTTTTGAATATTGCACTTTGCATCTAATTCAAAATACATAAATTGAACAATATGATTATAACAAGTGTTACTTTGCATCTAGAAAAAAAAATCTTCCTATAAAACAAATGTTATCCCCTTCGACTACCCCTCCTTGAACCACCACCTACACCTCTTCTTTGATGATCATCTTGTACTCTTGGCATCCAATCTTCTAAGTGGCGGGTTAAATCATCAAGGCATTGCCAAAATGTCACATCATCATTCCGGTGTCGAACGTCTGGGTGGAGTGGGTAAGCTCTTGCACCTAAGTATTGCAGATGCTGCAATTTCAAATAAATGTTATCCTACAATAGTAACATGGACTCTACTTTCCAATAAAAATAATAAAATTAAAAAAAAACTTACTACAACTTCGGACATATCACATGGTTGTATTGGCATTGATGCTAATGCGACATCTCTATGAACTCAAATATAAATGCGAGCTTGGTAATAGTCAAGATATACTTCTACCATTTCAGTGGAAAAATTTGCTCTATAAGAACCCGCTTCACCTACTCTAAAACAATGATTAATCCAAGAATCCCATGCACGAAGGTTCTCATCGTATTTGCATTTATATTTGTTGTTCTCTGGTCCTCTATAACTAGTTTTGGGATGCAATAGACGTATGGGTATAATTTGCACATATCCAAATTGTCTCAATACACGATCAGGCATATATGGCTCTGTAATATCCCTAAAATGAATTACACCGGAATACAATGTGATCGGAAACGTCTGATGAGGATTTCTATCAAATGGAGTCCACACTACCTAAATTTTGAAAATAACAATATTAGGAACAAATGGTGAAGGATATAGTAATATACTTTTAATAGTACAAATATATATAATTAAACTACGAACCTCATAAACTTTCATATCATCTAGTATGCGTCTATTAGACACCAAAGAATCAATACCAACACTCTGAACATATGGACGGATCCATTGTTGTGCATGCGGTAAACTTAAATCCCATTCCTTGTTCTTTTGGGGTCGAAATGTCAAAAATAAGCATATATCCAAGCCTAACATAAATTAAAATAACAATATATTATTAACATTACAAATTTTGGTATTAAAATATGTAAGGAATTTTTTTTATTAAATAGTACCCAAAGGAGCATTAAACATATATGTCAAACAAGCAGCACCCCATGCATAATCTTTAACCTTTTCCAAATCAACCAAGTATGGTAGAAGATAAGGACTAACACTAGTAGATGACTTGTCTACGAAAATAGTACACCCTAACAACCTTGTATAAATTTCAATCGCACACTCCCCCTACGATATTCATTATCCACCTCAGTTGTTGATACATTAAGAGTTGTTTTTAGATGCTCTTTTAATTCGAAAACTACAAGTTTACCAAAAACTGCTTCTCCGGTGATAGGAGTACTTAAAATGTATGAAACATCATGTAGCGTTATTGTCATCTCTCCAAAAGGTAGATGAAATGAATTTGTTTCTGGATGCCACCTCTCCACAAAAGTAGATATTAACGGCATGTTCATATTAGAATACATACAATCAGCCAGATAAAAAAGTTCACTAGTTATAATTAATGACTTCATCTCCTTGTTACGAGGTTTCCACTTTTGTAAACGGGCACTTTGTTTGTGACCTTTCAATACAATTCGTTCTTACTCAAGTCACAAATATAATGCATATACAAATATCAAGTAAGAATTCAATATAAAATATGTATTTATCTCTCACCAATTAAATTGCTGAAATGTAGATTATAAAACAAATTACATAAATATTACAAATTAAATAATAAACAAACTGTTTAGACTTACTCAACCATGCCAAATATAATATGCAACGTGACCACGAAAACTCATTAGCTATTCGGGATTTGTTGGGCTACCATCAATTGAATCTTGCAACCCACTGCAGTCTTCAAGACAAACATGTCTATCTCCCCCAAATCTCCCATGCACCTCAAAGTTACCTCTATAACTCATTATTGAACCAAATTGTTGTTTTGACAGTGGCTCATCCTCCTCCCCCTCCTCCTTCTCCTCTTCCTCCTCATTCTCATCGTCATCATCATCATCATTAGTTACACAATCTATTTTAGACATTAAACCCTTTCCCTTACTACTCCAAAACGGAACTTCTGAACTTATTTTATTAGCATGAGCGGATTGCTGAATTGCTATTTCAAATTAATCCAAATATTTTTGTTCCCCTTTATTTTTTTGACTGTATTCAGGTCCAAATTTAGGATTATGTGTATTGTTTGAAAGAAGTTTGCTAGTCTTAACAGGCTTAGCCCTATTAGATAATGTAGGACATAGTCGTGCAATAGGAATATCCTCATTGATATTAGCAGTCTCTTTTAACCTCATACTTTTCGAACGTCCACCTCTATAACCTTGTGACATCTGAAAAAAATTATAATAATCAATTAATGATTTTTATTGTTAGGTCATATGACGTACATTTTATGTTTCTTCATTTCAACTATGATGAATGCTAAGGAAATGGCAGCTCAACAGACTACATAACTTGTCTAATTTCATACTCTTAACACCCAAAAATAACATATTTGAAAATGTACCTATCAAACATTTGATAAGACAATGTCAAATTTGTTAAATTTGTTTAACCAAATTACGAATAAACCATAATATCAAACGATGCCATCGAAATTTCATTATGATTCATTACACTCTGACTCATGTGCTAAATCTAACACTGACCTTTCATATTTGGGATAATTTTATCAAATTCCACTCTCAATAATTCAGAACATAGAAGCTCCAAAGTACTCTTAGATGATGCTAATTCCCACACCATCAACTACAATAAGCCCAATAGCCACGAATTTATAATTTTAATTCCTACACCACCAACTACAATAAGCCCACCAACTACATTCCAATATCTGTACCTAATTCACTTTCCCGTAGCCACGAAGCATACTGGTAAAGTTAATATTCTTAACTCTTTTATGATGGATTGTGACTTTTCTACAGTTATGTTAGGGACAACAGATCGTTGATAATCAAACTCAAATTAAATTTTTTACGCGGTGCTATGAGATGGATGTGGTCAATATTCGTATTCTTATACTATAAGATGGCTTACACTTGAATTTATAATTTTCAAGAGCTATGCATGTCTAGGATGTCACTTGAAGACCTTATTATTGTATTCAAAATAATGGAAACCCTAACCCCAAAATTGTATTCAAAATCGGCTAAATTAGATCACAATGAGTCATTCATAATCCTAGAAATCCAACCCAGAAACAACATTCATAGTTTCATCAAATCGAAGGAAAAAATTCGAAATCAAATGGAGCAAAACAATCGACAAAGCAGAACATTACAACAATTAAACTATTTCATAAGAAAAATTTCAATAATTCAAAAATAAATTAAACAAAATACAAACCTTAGACTAGATGGTTTATGAACAGTGAACGATTTCTTCGTCTCTATGGCTCAGATTGAAGGAATTTGAGGGATTTCAAGAGGTAAAATGGTGAATGAAATGAATTGCAAAAAAAAAAAAATATATACAATGAAGCCCGGTGAAATGGTGAGTGAGTTTTGAGTGAGTTTTTTCATTTTGAAAAAGGGTATTTCAGGTCTTTTTAATATTTTAATATTATTAATTTTTTCTACATTTAGGTTATTTTGTACTACATTTAATACTTATGTAAATCAATTATAATAAATATTATAAATAACTACTTACGTAATCACGTTATTAAGTATATGAAAAGTTAGCAAAAGAAATGTCTTTTACTCAAAAAACATCAACGCAATTAAATATTTCATTACGTTCATTGCTATTTTCCATTTACTTACACTCTTCTCATAACAAAACCATATCATTAATTTCCACAACTCCCAACAACATTAATGTGAATCCAAAAGCACATTTAATATATAAATGTTCCAACAATCCTCCTCCATTTTTATAATAAATGTTTAATGCTTTTACCTTGCTAACATAACAAACACTCAAAACTTATGTATCATGAAAATGTCGAAACGATTGAATTTCCACTTAGTATAATACCCTTAACAATGATTCTGATCATAATGATAGACTAAGCTTTGAATCATTCAACCACTTTGAACCATTGAAGGTATTATACACACAAGTTTTATATAAACATTCATGTATCCTTGACACCATATAAAGGCCTTGTGTCCATATCCAATTCACGAGTATCTCCAAGTTAAGCCTCTAACTTGGTGAAGCGGTCAAACTTCTTACTCATATAGGTAGACTTTAAATAATCATACTCTTGCAATATAAGCAACCTCCCAAAAGTCTATTAAGAAATAAATTTACACAAACTATTGGGTGCGTCCGCCCGCACCTAACAGTTTGTGCGGCTGGGTTAAAATCCTAGCCAGCGCATTTTTTTTATTTTTTGAGAAAAGGCCCATATAAGTTTGAACTCAACTCTCAGCCCATATTTATTTCTTCCACTTATTCCGCCATTTTCAACTCCATTTTCTTATTCCAAATAAACCACCATTTTCAACTCAATTTCCTTTTCTTCGTCACTGCAGTTTCTACTTCTCTTTTCTTCTTCACTTCTTCAATTCCTACATTTTTCGGTTACTTTTCTTCATTTTCGTCTATATATTTCTTCTTTTATGAAAGATTTCTCAATTCAATATTTTTTTCAAATCGAAAAACATGAGATCAAAGAATGCTAATCGTTCGCCATTGAATGTTAAGGAAGAACATCCTGATGATTCACTTCTTTCAAACATTAAGTATTCAGTTTTTTCCTAAATTCTTAATTTCTTACATTGAATTGTTCTGATTTAGGTTTTTCGTTATTTTTTTTTACTATGATTCAACTTATGCTTTGTTTGTGTTTAATTAATTGAATTCGATTTACAATATTGAAATTTAATGTATCTATTTTTATTTTTAGCATTTGCTTTTGTTTCTTAGGGTTGATGATACCGTATTTTGTATCGAAAGTTTTAATTAGGTCTTTGTTCAAATTTTTATGTATTTTATGTTGTTTTTTGATCATTTATTTTTATTTACAGAAAATCTAAAGCTGGAAAAAGTACTTCATAAAGAAAAAATCAAACAGAATCGAGGTATGATCTTTTAATTAGCTAATTTTTGGGTTTCCTGATATTTTGATCGTTTTACTTGACATCTTTTGTTGTGTGAAATGTTTTTTTTAATTGTCTGATATATTTTTGTTGTTGGCTTATATTTTTCTTATACTGTGTGATAAGATTTTTTTTGTTAGCTTGTATATGGTGATATTGATGGATGATATATGTATTGTGTTGCCTTATATAATCATATTGATGGGTTATATGATGATATTGATGGCCGATATATTTATTGTGTTGCCTTGTATGATCATTATGATTGTTTAAATTTAAGAGGTTGATTTTTTTTATGTTGGTTGATACGGTCTTTTAGTTTGCTTATATGATTAATTTGTCTGATACGTTTTTGATGATAAATTTTTGTTTGCTAATTTTTTTTTACTTGGCTGATATGATTTGTTTTATTTGTTGATATACTCTATTTGTTGGCTTACATCTTTTTTAAGTTGGCTAAAATCTCAAATGCTATAAGCTGAAATGTTATCTTTGCTGACTTATATGGATTTTATGTTGGCTGATTTGTTATCTTAGTTAGCTTATATGATTTATTTGGTTGGCTGATACGTTTTTATATATATTATTTGTTGTTTGAATAGTTTTTTATTTGCTGATATGTTCTATTTGTTGGCTTACATCTTTTTAAAATTGGCTGAAATCATAAACTACTAAGCTGAAATGTTATCTTTGTTGGCTTACATATTTTATTCGGTTGTTTGATACTTTTTGATATATGTTTTTTGTTGGTTGATTTCTGTTTTTTTTATTTGGCTGATATGCTCTTTTTCCCTTGTTGATATGTTCTATTTGTTGGCTTACATGTTTTTAAGTTGGCTGAAATCATAACTTGCTAAGATAAAATGTTATCTTTTTTATATTGATTTTTAGTTGGTTGATATATTATCTTTGCTTGCTGATATGTTTTATTAGTTTGGCTAATACGTTTTTAATATATATATATTTTTTGTTGGCTGATTTGTTTTTTATTTGGCTGATATGCTCTTTTTGGTTTTGCTCATATGTTCTATTTATTGGCTTATGATAATATTTTTCTTGTTTTTTAATTCTTTACTTGTTTTTTCAGTAAAAGTACTAGTGATGTTCTCAAAGTTGGAAAGAAGAGAAAAATTGAAAAGGACGATTTGATTTTAGGTATTTGATTTTTCATATTCCTGATTCAAAATGCAAATGTGTTGTTCTTTAATTAACATTTTTTTTATTGATTTTTCAGCAATATTACAAAAGATGATTTGTCAGATATTTCTATTGGAAGTCAATCTAGTGTTTCAACTACTACCAACATGGTCAAAAGTTTCAATGATTAACAAAGAGCAGCTGTTAATGACATTGGTTTTGGTGGTTTATTAAAAATCAATCTATCTGAAGATCTCAAC